TTAATCCAGTTATTTTTTTATAGCAATTTGAAGAGCATTTTTAATATATAAATAAATCTCGTCTTTTTTACATGTAACTTCAGTTGACTTCTGCCATGAATGAAGATATGTATTAGCGATGAAACCATCAAACAATTTCTGTCCAAGAGATATTTTTATTCTATCTAAAGGATTGGGATATAATGCAAATTTTTCTAATTCACCATCTACATCAATCTTGATTTTTTGTGATTGCCCAGTTCGAATAATTTCATGAAATATACGCTGGTTTTCAGGTATCGATTCATGCCATATTTCAAACTCAGATAAGTTATAGAAATATCTATAGCAATGAGTGTATTCTTGCCAGATAATCCATCCTTCAGGTTAAATATTTTCCGAAGCATAAAGACATTCTTTTCTGGGGCAATTAGGGCGATTAAGATATTTATATTTTCGCAAAATTTGTTGTTTATTAATTGTTAAATTTGGCAAATCATCCCCAGAATTGCTATTGTATTCTGAGTTTTCATCTGATAAATAATCATATTTTGAATGTGAATACCAAGACATTTTATTGATTTGTATAAGTGTGTTATTTGTATATACACGTTGTTTGATCTGACAAAAAGTATATATTATTGAAACTATATTAATTGGTAGATAAATCTTTAAAATAAAATTAATTATTCCAGAAATTTTAGCCAGACGCCAAAAAAAATTATATATTTGATTGAAGTAATTATTATATATAATCACAATAATATTATACCATTGCTCATATATTCATAGAACTGGAGAAATCTGTGGTCGACGTAGTAAATCAGAAAGATGTTATATTCATCATAATTCTCCAATACCTACTCCTTGTAGAGATTGTGGTGAGCCAAATAGGTCTAAATATAATGCATGCAATAAACACGTGGGAAAATATAAAAGTAAAGAGAATTATGACAGAAAAAAGCAGGATGAGTTATGTGCACAAATTACCAGGTTTAAGAATTATATATCTAACTTTCCTGATTCTATGCACGAAGTCTAATCATATACCTGGTATATGTATATATTGATTATTTTTTCCAGGACCTCTTATTTTGGAAAAATGGCACTTATGTGACTAAGTAATATTATATCCTCTTTGATGCCTTCTATATTTTTGGTAATTTTATTGTGTAAAGCTATGGATTCCAAGACTTTATTTCGGGAGAAATAACACTTTGTGCCTGATCAAACTTGTGTTTTGTTCATGTCTATTTTCTGATAAGATTACTCAAACAGCAATCTATTCAATTTTGGGTATATATACCGACTTATGATAATTAATTTCGATTTGAAAAAAGAATCTCCATAGTATATATCAGATGAAAGTAGTCTATATAAAACATCTCAACCAATATATACTAACCATGGCAAAAATTACTACATCATTTGTAAATCGCTACAAATTGATTCCTCAAACTAGTTTATCCCAGCTTAGTAGTTATGCTGAAGAGTTGGCTAATAAACTTTCAGATAGTAAAACAAAAAAGCAGGCTCAAAAAGTCAGAGATCAGGCCAAAAGACGCTTCCAAGAGTTGGGATTGAGTAAAGAACAAGCTGATACTCTTATTCCTATTTGAGCTTCTGGGAGACATGTTTATGAAAGAGATCCCATTAAAATTATTGCCCAAGATATTATAAAAAATAATCTCTCACCTGAAGAAATAAATGGAATAGCATATGACTTGGCTTCTTCTGCTCCTACTACTATTGCAGGAAATTCTCATCTTAATTTATTACAGAAAGAGTTGCGTAGCTTAGGAGCTGATTATCTCATTACTGAGGCAACGAAAATACCTTTTATTACTGAAGAAACAAATCAGATTCAAGCAAGAAAGCATATACTTCGTGGAATTAATGGTTACGATTATCCTGAGTTCTTTTACCTAGAAAAAGTTCAGAAAAGACTTAACGAATATAATATTACCAAGCCTCCTTCAATGCAAAATCTAATAGACATAATTATAATACTATGTATGTAATCGGCAGATGTGGAAAATCTTTGTATCAACCGATACAAACCAAGTCGCGAGTCATAGTATAATTCTGACCATTCTTGGTACCGTATTGGTTATACAAAAAATAAAGGTGAAGTAGAAGAACCTCGACCATTCTTTTCAATAGAAAAAATCCAATACGGGCAAGAGAATTACTTATCTGGATTCAGAGATCAATACTGGATAAATTTCTTTTCTTGTTAAAAGATAAGAATGGGAATACTAATGTTGCACCTCTTAATCAATTCTTAAGTCGCCATAGAATTACCTCATATATGTTAAGAAAAATAGGTGCTGATCATACTTCCAGAGTATATAGAGGTAAGAATGATACTAGCCATCAATATTTACAGCAATTGGCATGTAGACATAAAATAGGCCATGCTTCATCAGTCAAACATTATAGTGTGATGAATAACAGACCAATTGCTTCAACGAC